GATCACTGACCTGCTACTTATGTGGCCCGGTTCCAAATAGGCCAGGGGGATTGGGGACGCCTACACTAGACAAACAATTAAGCAGAAAATAATACCCTACCAAGGACTTAACAAGAAGAAAACCACATCCCCAGCAACAAGCTACTGTAAAAAAATAGGGAGTAAACTGTACACTTACTTGCACTGATTACCTGTTGAATTAATAAAAGTGAGAATATAAGTTTATTTCTAAATTATTATTCAAAACAGGCATTTAAGTACAAAGCTGTGTAAGAATGGGAAATTTTAGGCCTTCAAGACAAGGCTATATTTCTCATCATTGAGCACTGGGAGTTTTATTCTGGAAACTTCCGGAGGGGCCCAAGATACTTATCCATGCCTTAAAATAATTAGTAAACCAACAAAATGGAGTTTTTAGAAGATTCTTAGAAAGCAGCCGTGGCTCCTTGTTCCCTTTCCTTGGGACAATGGTACTCTGTGTAGCATATTTCCATTGTAACTTCAGACAGATGCATACTGCACCCCTTTCACCATTTTACTTTAGTTTTCCAAAAGGTGCTTCATAACATGGTTCCGCCCCCAACACTCTCTTTCAAACTTACTGCATGTGTGCACATGTACCAGCTCACCATTTGCACAAGTTGAGCTGCATGCACATGCATGCGTGCTGGCCTGATATTTGGCCCAGTTCCAAATAGGCCACCGCCTAGTAGTGGGCATTGGCCCAGGGGTTGGGGATGCTTGCATTAGACAAACAGTTAAGCAAAAAACATCACCCTCATCCTTATTGAGAATGTGCCTCTTAAAAATCTGGGTCCTTCTCCCTGTACTCTTTGCCAGTTGATTATCTTTCCTCTTAGTTATGCTGCTTCATATGCCTTATTCTTGGAAGAAAGGCAGTAGTTTGTTTTGCTCTGAAGATTGGGAAGGATAGTAGAGGAATCATTACACAGTGAGCTGATGCTGCATCTTACCATCTAACCAGGTCAGCACTTTTTGCATAATGGAATAGTTTCAGCAGGGTTCCTATGAAAACTTACATAATATATAGGCTCAGATTTCTGCATTAATACATTTAGTCAGCAGAGAGACTGTTCATTCTTCATGTTCTATATTTATTGAGGCATCTATATGATTAAAGAAGTAGATATATCTCTAACAGGTATTCTATGTGTTAAGAATGTGGAACCTATGCCTTCTAGATGCTGATATTCATCCCCAGCCAGCATAATTACTCCTGAGGAAGAGCCAAGGTGGCGCAGTGGTTAAAATGCAGCACTGCAGGCTACTGCTAGATCAGCAGGTCAGCGGTTCAAATCTCACCGGCTCAGGGTTGACTCAGCCTTCCATCCTTCCGAGGTGGGTAAAATGAGGACCCAGATTGTTGGGGGCAATATGCTGACTCTCTGTAAACCGCTTAGAGAGGCCTGAAAGGCCTATGAAGCGGTATATAAGTCTACTGCTATTGATGTTCAACAACCTCTGGAAAGCTACTGTTTTCTCATTCTCATTTCTGCTAAACATTGACAAGTTTTATTTAAGAGGTTGCTTAGTTTTCCAGACTTTCTCTTGGCTACGTAGTTTATATTCCACTGTATTTCTTACTTTGCAAAATACTTTTTTATCATCATGGGACAAGTATGTGATCCAGGCTCTGGTTTAAGACTACATTAAGGCAGAACATGACAAGAATAAATTGGGAAAGATAAATTATTGTTCTGTTCTTCCCTTTAAAGTGTAATCTTTTGCAACACTGTTGCAAAGAAAGAAATCATATATGTAAATGAGAGGGGAAAAAGAAAAGCATGTTATATTATTATATGTATGTATGTTCCTAAGCGATACTCAGGAGCCTTATTTCTGAGCTGGCAATATGTCTTCCAGGACCGTGTTACCAAGCAGTGTCTGATTGAAGTGGACAGTAATTTTATGGTCTTAATAACAGCTAATGTCATTGGAGTGGCAATGAAATCAATATTTTTTTTAACAGATTAGGTTGTATAATAAAAGAAGAATAGCGAGAACTTACTAAGAGTTAATCAATGCAAATAAATTATATATAAGCACATTGCATGGCCCAACCTTAATGATACTATTGTGTACAAAGATGATTCATTTAGCCAATCTGTCATTCATCATTTAACTGTTTTATAGCCAATGCTCTCAGAATGCTGGACATCATTTTGAGAATACACTTGAAGAATATTTAACTAAGAATTATGTACTTCAATCTTAGCTCATTGAATGGATGGTGGGATATTCATCACATAATGTATGATTCTATGTTTCATATGGCAGTCTGGGCACATTGGAAGCTAGTTTCCATTTTGCCCTTATGAAATGATGTCAGTATAACTTTATCTTTTAATTTCTAAGATTTCAGGTGTTGTGCTGCTTTTGGAAAACCTTAGTGGGAAGAAACAGGGACTTATTTGAAACATTTACAAACTGATATTTACTGGATGCTGTTTTTCACATGTTCCTTTCATAGGCTTCTTGCCTGTGTGGTGTATATATTACGGTAGTATGCAGGTTGGTTAGGGTGTGTGTGAGAGAGAGAGGGGTGGGGAGAGAGAGAGAGAGAGAGAGAGAGAGAGGGAGGGAGAGAGAGAGAGAGAGAGAATATATATATAAGAACTATTCTGCAATTCTCAGGCAGCTTGACAAAATAGATTTGCAGTTCCATCTGGAAGAGTTAAATTAAGGAAAATCAGATTAATAGTTCAGAAATGGCAAGAAATATTGAATTGTCAAAAATGGACATCTGTAATATAAAGAAGTAAACATATTTGTAAAAGAAGATTAAGGAATTATAATAACTGTTATTTCTTTTATCTGTGTGATTTTTATTCTATTAAAACTATACAACTCCAAAACAAAAAAATTAAAATTTAAAACAAAACAAAACAAAACAGATAAGGTATTAAACTAAAAAGATACATTGTAAAAAACCCCATAAACACAGATTATCCTCCCTAATTGAATACTGATAAGTATATTGCAAAAATATGAGTTTCCCACTGCTTGCTAAACTGCACCCCTCCCCCCAATTTTAAATTTTTATTTGCAAATTATTAACCTGTCATCACCATATTAATGAAAAAATAGTTAGCAGATAAAGCAACAAAAAAGGCAAGAATAAAGTATCAAAAACCTCTGTTAACAAACTATTACTGTATTCAAATCATAGAAAATTCACCACAGCTTCCATCTATCCCAAATCAATCTAACAGTTACCACTAATTCATTCTGGATCAAATATTTTTGTTTGTTTCTTAATGCCATCTCTTATTTATTGTTGTTTGATTAAAAAATAAATCTATTTTCCAAAGTTGATCTATCTTCACGAAGGAGTCCAGATAAAATTGTTTTCCAAGTTAATATGATACATGTAGTCCCCAATCTCTTTCAATCTTCTTAGGGGAAACTAATTTATCACTTATCCACACAGTCAGTTTTCTGCTGTTGTAAAAGATTGCAGGCCTGAATTTTGGGAAGTCATGTGCAATCCACTCATTCTAAGTCTGTAAAATCCATATTTCTTTCAGTCTTTGCCAAATCTACCACTTTCAAATCAAATTCCTATTGTGAATCTGCTTCACCTACAGTTACTTGCAACTGGGTATTTTTTTTGCAAGCATTACTATATTGTCAAACCTTTAAAAGAAATTTTCAACTTGGATTTGTATGCTATTGGTCTTTTTTCAAATGCCACCCAGTTTTCCTTGTCTGTAATCTGATACGTTGTTCCTCTCATAGAATTTAGCAGAGAAAGATCTTCAGAGACAGAGAACATAGAAAGTTGAAGTAATATTCCTCAGAGTGAAAATAGAAATAGAAAAATGGGGAGGATATTTTTGGATATTTCAAGCCAAGACTTAAAAAAAATAATCTCAAAACATTTTACAAGTTAATAAAATGCAAAATCCCTGTAGAGAACGTCCAATATAAATATAAATCAAGTCCAAGCACCTTCACTACCCAGAAACACCTTGTGATTTCTTTATAAGTCATTCAGTACAGCCAAATAAATCAAAGGAAAAAGACAAAAAAAACCTCCAAATAAAATCCAGCAGGGGGTTAAAATAAAATGCATGCAACCAGTTAACTTTTAAAGATAAAAAGCATAACAAAACAAAAACTTCAAAAATGTACTTAACCCAGGTTTACTTAAGAGAACAATCCGCCCAGAAGAAAAAATGGATAGGTGACTGGTGATTTTATGGCCGCACCCAGAGGGAGGAACTAGAGTCTTTTAAGATTCTTCTTCCTGGGAAGAGGGGTCCACAGCCATCCAAAAATCATCTTGGGTCATTCCTAAGTCTTCCCATTCATATCCAGGGAATAATGCTGCCAAAGGAGATTGTCAGCACGAGAGAAAAATTCCCTTACCATTCAGCAGCCATCCTGGGGGAGGAGTGTGCCAGAATGCTGTTATTTTGATATAAGCTAACCTGATTTGAAACTTCTGAACTAAAATATGTGCAGTGATTTTCTTTTAAAAAGAAAATTGAGTTTACTATTCATTATTAAAGCTATATATTTATTTAGTAGTTTTTTTAGAATTTATAATGAGGGTTAATTTGAAGCAACACGTATTAATGTGAAATGCTTCCAATGAGTTACTAATAATGTGCTTACATAGCCAAGAATGAGGAAAGGACTATGGGAGGTCAAGCCAGTGCATAAGATATTTGAAGTATAATGGATTGGATCTAGATCTATAATTTATTATTATGGAAAAAAACTCCAAAAGTAATATCAATTACTATTTTGGAGTGTTCTATGATCCTAGAGAAGCTTTTGAAAGGTCACACAAAGTTGTTTCCTCTAGCAGAAGAAATCCACTAGTGATCTGGATCGTTAGTGGTCTTAATGTACAGAGAAGGACATGTAAATCATATAAGTCCATAATTAATTTAATATTATTTTTTTATAGAATTTTGGAAACCTTTATCAGCATGCAGTTTTTAACTAGAAAATCATGCTTTGTATTTTAGGTTGGTGGAAATAAGCACACCATGAATGAGCATCTACATGTTACCAGCCATGGGCAGATCCAACAGCTCTTTGAAGATAATAGTAACAAAAGGACAGTTCTATCCACACAACCAAATGGGCTTGCAACAGTAACAAAATCAGGACTGCCAGTGGTACAAGATAGACAACTTGAGAGCTGTCATAGGCGTCAGGGAAGCTCCAACTCCTTGAAATCTACTGAAGGGCCAGGAAAATTAAAAGCTACTCCCATGACTCCCGATCAAGCAATGAAGCAATACGTGCAAAAGCTAACAGCCTTTGAGCATCATGAGATCTTCAGCTACCCTGAAATATATTTCTTGGGTCCAAATGCAAAGAAAAGGCAAGGTGTCATTAGTGGTCCAAACAATTGTGGATATGATGATGACCAGGGATCTTATGTACAAGTACCCCATGATCATATATCATACAGATATGAAGTTCTTAAAGTTATAGGGAAAGGAAGTTTTGGACAAGTGGTAAAGGCATATGATCACAAGATGCATCAACATGTTGCTCTGAAGATGGTGAGAAATGAGAAGCGTTTTCACCGCCAAGCTGCAGAAGAGATTAAAATTCTGGAGCACCTTAAAAAACAGGATAAAGATAATAACATGAATGTTATACACATGCTGGAGAACTTCACATTCCGCAACCATATATGTATGACATTTGAGTTGCTGAGCATGAACCTTTATGAGCTCATTAAGAAAAATAAATTTCAGGGCTTTAGCCTGCCTTTGGTTCGCAAATTTGCCCACTCCATTTTGCAGTGCTTGGATGCTTTGCACAAAAACAGAATAATTCACTGTGACCTTAAACCAGAAAACATTCTGTTAAAACAACAGGGTAGGAGTGGTATTAAAGTGATTGATTTTGGCTCTAGCTGTTATGAGCACCAGCGCGTCTATACATATATCCAATCACGTTTTTACCGTGCTCCTGAAGTCATCCTTGGTGCTCGATATGGGATGCCAATAGATATGTGGAGCCTGGGCTGCATTCTTGCTGAACTCTTAACAGGATATCCTCTCTTACCAGGAGAAGATGAAGGAGATCAGCTGGCTTGTATGATAGAACTTTTGGGTATGCCTTCCAGGAAACTACTGGATTCATCAAAAAGAGCAAAGAATTTTGTGAGCTCCAAGGGCTACCCCCGATACTGTTCCATTACTACCTTGTCAGATGGTTCTGTTGTGCTTAATGGTGGACGTTCCAGGCGGGGCAAAGTGCGTGGCGCCCCAGAGAGCAGAGAATGGGGGAGTGCATTGAAAGGATGTGATGATCCGCTCTTCCTCGATTTCTTGAAACAGTGTTTAGAGTGGGATCCAATGCTGCGTATGACACCCAGTCAGGCTTTACGGCATCCCTGGCTAAGGAGACGTTTGCCAAAGCCGCCAACTGGGGAGAAGACTTCAGCAAAAAGAATCACAGAAAGCACTGGTGCTATCACATCCATTTCCAAGTTACCTCCAACTTCAAACTCAGCTTCAAAACTGAGAACTAATCTGGCACAGATGACGGATGCCAATGGGAATATTCAGCAGAGGACAGTGTTGCCAAAGCTTGTGAGCTGAGGTTTGAATAATCTAATGCTGATTAAAATAAAGGGAGAGAGAGAGAGAGAAATTGCGCAATTATGTCACTGAGCCTTATTCACATGAAAAAGAAGCTCAGATTTCTATTTTTATTTGATCAATATCTTTAAACATTTGTATTTTTTTCATTGATTACTTTAAATGTGTTAAGCATGGTTTTGATTTTATAAAAAAACAACATGGGGATAATGCTTTAAGTTTTTACACTTTTTTAAATGAAATGTTTCTCTTGTAAACAACAATTAGCCTTATCATGAAATTTGTATGGCACAACGAGGTGTCAGTGGCAGGCCACTGGTAACTATCTAAGCTTGATCTTTTTAGCTAGGTGAGGAAAAGAAGAGTAAATTCCTTTTCCTCATCATGGCTTTCTTAGGAGTGAATTTTAATACTTTCTTATCATTGCTTTTGTTATAGCAGTAGGCTTCATTCCTATAAGCATTTATTCATATTTTCATGCAATGATCTAGAAAATATTCAGGGCTACAAGTGAGGTTTTGCATGGCTGTTTGTGGTTCTGTCGGTAGTATGGATTATTTACAGAATGGCACATAACATTGTTAAAATATCCCAATAGAGCATCCACAAAGGGCTTACTTCATGCTCATAACATTCCTTTAACAATTCTCTATCAAATATCCAGGAAGAAATACTGAAATTTGATGCAAAGTTTCTGAAGATACAATATTTACATTAAAAAAGCCCAAACTTATTCCACTATTTAGCTAATGTAAAAGTAAACATTTATAGCATGAAAATGTGCTATTTGGCATATTTATGAACCTCAGAGAACAGTCCTGAATCTGTTCATTTGGAAGTAATTTCCACTCCTTTAATGGAATTTGTAAAAATAATAAAGGTAGGATAAAAATAAATTTTAAAAAATAGGGATCGAGCTTAAATACTTTAGACTGCAACTCACTCAGCTGTTCCTCTGAATTAAATTAGACTTATTACTAAATAAGGTAAAGGTTCCCCTCACACATATGTCCTAGTCGTTCCAGACTCTATGGGGTGATGCTCATTTCCATTTCAAAGTTGAAGAGCCAGCACTGTCCAAAGACGTCTCCATGGTCATGTGGCTGGCATGACTAAACACCAAAGGCACACAGAATGCTACCTTCCCACCAAAGGTGGTTCCTATTTTTCTACTTGCATTTTTCCATGCTTTCCAACTGCTAGGTTGGCAGAAGCTGGGACAAGTAGCAGGAGCTTACTCCGTTATGCGGCGCTAGGGATTAAAACCACTGAACTGCTGACCTTCTGATCGACAAGCTCAGCGGCTTACCCACTTAAAGATGGCTAAGAAAGGTCAGCAGTTCAGCAGTTCGAATCCCTAGCACTGTGTAACGGAGTAAGCTCCCGTTACTTGTCCCAGCTTCTGCCAACCTAGCAGTTTGAAAGCATATGAAAATGCAAGTAGAAAAATAGGAACCACCTTTGGTGGGAAAGTAACAGTGTTTCGTGTTCCTTCGGTGTTTAGTCATGCCGGCCACATGACCACAGAGATGTCTTTGGACAGCGCTGACTCTTTGGCTTTGAAATGGAGATGAGCACCGTCCCCTAGAGTCGGGAACTACTAATACATATGTGTAAGGGGAACCTTTACATTTATTCCTGAATAGCCAAACACAAAAACCTTGGCAAAGTGTTTGAGTCACAATTGGCACCATAGACGAAAGAGAGCACCCACGTGGGAGGTGACAAATAGGAAGAATGGGAGGACATTTCTTGCATTTCTCTGGCACTCAATCCAGACAAGACCGAGTGGCTATTGATGTTTCCTCCCAAGGACAGTCCAGACTCTCCATCTATTAGCCTGGGGGGTGAAAGTTTGCACCCCTCAGAGAGAGCCCGCAATTTGGGTGTCCTCCTGGATCCGCAGCTGACATTAGAACACCATTTGTCGGCTGTGACCAGGGGGGCTTTTGCCCAGGTTCGCCTGGTGCACCAGTTGCGGCCCTATCTGGACCAGGAGGCACTTCAAATGGTCACTCATGCCCTTGTCACCTCAAGGCTCGATTACTGCAACGCACTCTACATGGGGCCGCCCTTGAAGAGTGTTCGGAGACTACAGTTAGTCCAGAATGCAGCCGTGCGAGTGATATCGGGTGTACCTCAGTACACCCATGTTACACCTATCCTCCGTGGGCTGCACTGGCTGCCCATTGGTCTCTGGACGCGCTACAAAGTGCTGGTGATTACCTTTAAAGCCCTACATGGCATTGGACCTGGATATCTGAGAGACCGCCTCCTGCTACACACCTCCCAACGTCCGATAAGAACTCACAGGCTAGGCCTCTTCCGGGTGCCGTCGACCGGACAATGCTGGCTGGCGACCACTTGGGGGAGAGCCTTCTCTGTAGCTGCTCTGGCTCTGTGGAACGATCTACCAGCAGAGATCTGGACCCTTCCCACTCTCGTGGCCTTCCAAAAAGCCACCAAAAACAGGCCTGGGGTTGCTGATTTTTTAAATCAGGTCCAACCCCCAGTTAAGCCAAATGTATGTTGTGTTTTTTTTAAACTGTGTATGTTTCTTTCCCCTATGTGTTATTTTATTTTATTTCATATTTGTAAGCCGCCCGGAGTCCTCCGGGATTGGGCGGCATATAAGCTCATTAAATTGCAAAATTGCGAATTGCGAGAACACAGCAGCCAAATGTGATTCAGGGTAGCCATAAAGCTTCAATGTACATGAAAAGTTGAACTTAGAGGGAGATAAGTTTATCTATCCCCCAGTCCCTCAAAAACTTTGCCTTGCCTTCTCCTTCCCCTGCATGGATGACCCGATCACAAACTAAGCACAGTATTTCAATTCCCTGCACATTTTTGTTTTACAAAAAATAAACATCTATGGGACTATAAAAACTGAGACACATTCTTGTAAATTCTGATGTCTCAAAAAACCCCACTTTGCAGAATAGTAGTGTCTTTCATACATACATCTACATGTGTTTGTGTGTGTGTATACACACACATACACACCTACACACATTTTAGAAAATATAATTAGGGGAGACACAGAACTTCTGCGCACCAAAGAATGAATCTGGGCATGTTGATGACTTATAGGCACCGCCCAGCTTGTTCTTGCTCTAGCTGTAGGAACGATACATATGTCTGCAGCAGCCTTGTGATTCTCAAGCTATCCCTTTGGAGGTGTCACTGGTTATGCAGACTAAGAACTGTAGGAGCTGTAGGCCAGGGCATAGCCGAGAGCTTAGCCTGGGCATAAGTGATCTATCTTTTATCCAAAATTCACTTAGACATACAGATTAATATAACATGAATGCATAAAACCATAAACCTTGTCTTAATTTCACTCATTCCAACACTGAAAATATATCATGGAAACAACTTCAATGTTCCTCAAACTTCCAATTTTTTAAAGAAAACAAAAGTATCCTGTACTGGGGAAATAAATTCAGAGAGTTTTTGAATGTGATTCCAAGCCAACTGTCAAGCTAAGCAGCTTGATAGCCAAGTAGCATTGCTGCTCTTCTGTCCCTTCCTCCCAGCTTTTTGATCTGCTGATACAAGCAACAAAGCTGCTTTGACAAAAGCTTTCCTTCCTCTCCCACTATATAACTGCAAGACTCAAAATTAAATGAAGCAGTTCTTTTCTTAAGGCTATGAATACTGAGCTGCATCAAATAAAGTACAAGGTTGATTAGCCACTGTAAATTAAAATCTTGTGTTGACCTATATCTATATTTAATTTTATCCTGTTCCATACTTAAAACTGAAGTTCAGATATGAAGGGATGGAGAGGCAACATTGATTTTTGTTTCAGAAGCAATGTAGACCAACTGGATTATATCTTGCCAAGACTGAACTAACGTACCATGTTTTGGTCTGTGTTCATTATATTATTCACCTACAACACTAATCCTGGACTTGGTTTACAACTAATACAGTCCAATTAATGCATTCTGTATTTGTGTGTTCCCAGAATTCATACATTTTCACTGTGAAAACAAAAACCATTTTCCCACAAACCTATTTTAAATGGTAAGTGAGGAAAGGATGGAGAGAACACACTGGTCAAATATTTTAAGTTATTTCCATATGCAAAATCAAGCAGTTGATGCTAGACTTTAAAAATGCAAAAGCACAACATTCATATTTTGTTCGTTCTTACTTTCCTCCTACCATTTGCAATTGAAACTATTCTGTTGCCTTTATTTTTGGAATATTGTCAGGAGCAAAGCTGTCTCTTACAGGCATATGTGCAAAATTCCATACGCTGGGAAAATGGGACAACTTCCTTCCAATGTGTACCGTGGTGTATTACTTCAACATTTCAAGGGTTATGTTACTGGAAACACCCATTCCATCTCATTGTTTCCTGTAAAATTGTATTATGTAGCTATGTCATCAGAATCTGGACTTAGTAATTGCTTAATGAAGATGACACATGAGACATTCATTAATGAAAATGCCTCTGTTATCTTAAAATTATTCCTTCAGTTTTTCAAAATTTCTAACTGCTGAACGGTAAAAAAAAGATGTTATGTCTTTATGTTTCTAGAGCAAATGAAAAAGTGAAAGAACCTTAAAAATGAAAGTAATATCTGATTTACATATTTACTCTATTTAAAAGGTTTACATGGAGAAAAAATCAAAATGCAATTTACAAAATGCCAAGATGTTCTTTATATTCTATTAATATTAGTATAGATAATATTAGATTTTATAGAGAGCAAGATACAGGCTTTCATGGGCAACCTTGGGTTATGAGTAGAACATCAAAGGCCACATTCCAAAAAATGTCTCAGACAAGAAAAATAAATGAATATATTAGAATGTAGTATAAAACTACTTATAGCAACTGTGTTTTTATTAAATTTATTTATTTAATTCAGTATAAAATACCCAATTTCACAATTAAAGTAAAATACATTGATAGAAATAAATTCTTGTTGAATACATTCTTTTCTTTTGCTCATCTTCATATGTACAACTACATATGCATCCTGAGCAAAAGGATTTTCTCAGGCTGCCTTTCAAACTGTAAATTTGTACGTTTTCATAATGGAGGATTGGAGACTTTCAATTGGAATCATCTTAATAGAAAACTATAAGGGGAATGGAAATCTTAACACAATCTGTTGCCCAATAATCCAGGAGTTTTATGGAATATGAATTTTACAAGTGGCAGATAAAGCTGAAATTTTCCTTTGTTGGGCTGAAGTAGATTTAAAATCCTTTATAATGGTGGATGCTCTGTTGCCAAAGTCAAACTATTAAGAAAGAAGTGAGATGGAAGAAGACAGATGAATGACTAAAAGAAGCCCATAGACTTTCACTTATCCTGTCTTCTAATATTTTTTTAGCCATTACCTATTTACTAATTAAAAAATTAAAAACAGGAAAACACATACAATACTAACATTGAATAAATAAATAAAAGGAATGGAAGATGGGAAGGAGAATGGTATATCAGTGACAATTTGCAGAATCACTGAGATAGTCCAATAGTCTTCAGAATGTGAAATCTCACCATTTCTGCTGTCCAAGAGCTAGGATGATTTATTACTGGCTCAGCTGTGGTATATGATTAATCACAAAAAAGCTGGTCTTTTCACTTGAAGCACAGCAACTCTACAGAATTTCTGAGTGGTCCATTCTAGTGGTAGGAACTCTTCTTCTCCTTCCCCAGGTTTTGACCAGTGTAACATTTTACTCAACAATTCAATATGGGGAAAATGACTACCAGATTGAGATTTCCAGGTTGGGAGGAATAGAATGTTCAGAAAATGTGTCCTTTTCAATATATTTTTTCAAAGGAAACAAATGTTGCTAAAATGGATGTTACATACAGATTGATAATATTTGAAGAGAGTTGAAAGGACTGCCGATGCTAGCATGGTGACAACTTTCATTAGAGTGCTGAAAACTTCAGTAAAACTTATAATTTGTTATTATGCACAAATCTTATTATAA